CATATGGATGTTTGAGGTAGGAAACAAGTGGAAGAGCAAGAAAATTGAAATTCCAGTGTTGTCTCCGTGAAACTCCAGAAAATTCGGCTGGTATCTCTCTTGCTAGAATAGAGTGACCATCCTTGGAGACAAAGGAGAAAGGGAAAGGAGAAATCTGCTAGGTATATTGTAGTTGGTGCTGACATAGACCAGACAGTTCCCACCTCAGGCCACACAAGGAGAGTCTGTGTTGTGTCTTCTCCCAGACCAGGTCTGGCAGCCAGAGAGATGCCGTCTTTGGTGTCAGTGGGAGCTGCCATTCCCCACTTCCCTGCTTACAGGTAGTGTAGACTGGTGGCAGGAATGTGTCTCCCAGCTGGCTCACTGGCAGTGTAGACTGCCGAGCTCTGAGCATCTCCTCTGGGCCAGACCCTGTCTGCTCACCAGTCAGATCTGGGCAGGCAGTTGTGAAATGGGTCTCTGATTATGGCAAGTGCAGCAGAAAGCATGTGTGTTGCATGGTGTCACAGGAAGGGCCTTTCCAGGTAGGTGGGCTTGTGCTGAGGCCTTTCTGTGTCTGACACCCCTGCCCACAAAGACACGTGTCCCACAGTGGGGACAGGTGCACACTTTAGTGGGGTGACAGGAACAGGTATTGTTTTCAGTTCTGTGTACTGCTGTAACCCTGGATGGGCTCAAGGTGCCAGGCAGAGAAACAGGGACCCCGGACTTGCTGGGTGACCTTCAGGGAGTCACTGGGCAAGTTGCTTACTGCTTACGTAAACCCCTTTGTTATGTGATGTCTGTACACGGTAGAAAATGGACCTTAAGAGATTAGGCTCTGAACCTGGGCTAAACCCAAGATTATTTCAAATGCTGTTCATCCTCCCAGCCCTGTGACCTCAGGCAAGTGACTTGACTGACCTCTTTTGGCCTGTTTCCTCATCTGTGCAGTTCGGTGGTTGTTAGTCAGGGGGGTCATTCTGATTCCAAGAGAGCATTTGAAGGAGCAGGGGCACGGTCTGCAGTAAGATGGAGCAACTGCTACAGTTCGTCCTGTTGCCCTCGTGTGCCACCATGCCCCTGGGAAGATTACCTTCTAGACTGTTCTAGCAGGTGAGAAAGGGGTTTGCTCATGCCATCCTGACTGTATGACCCCTAAGGAAGGTCTCCTGCCTTCTGCCTCTGAGCTGGGGTAGAGCTGAGTGTGAGCCTCTGGAGGTGGAGGGAGTTGGGGACAGGTTTCCACAGCATCCCAGCCAGAGGCATCTCCTGGTGATGGCAGCACAGGGGGGACTGCCCTCTGTCAGGCACAAGGACAGGCAGAGCACCACATAGTTCTGATGTCCTGGGTTTCTGGCATCTGCTTTAGTGAGATGGGGGAATGCAAACAAGTGGGTTCCTCCCTCCAGGACCCAGGATGATTCATCCCCTGGGGAGAGAGATGGGGTGTTCCAGGGGGACAGAAGAGGACAATGGCCTGTGTTCATCCTATAGACTTCCTGGTTGTGGTTAATGGAGAGAGAGTGCAATAGGCTGGCTTAGAACCACAAGGTACACATGTGTGTGTGTGTGTGATCTGTCTGTCTGTCCGTCTCAGAATGAAGACCAGCAGACCCTTTGTACAAGAGCACAGCATACTTCCATGGTGGTTCTGATCCAGATTCCACCACTATCAGATGATGACTTCAGAAAGTGGCCTTAATGTCTTCTGAGAATTAGGCCTCTTGCCTGTGCCTGGGGTCAGGTGTCTATCTGGATCTTGGTGGCTTCTCTCTTCCCTAAGTTCACAATGATCAGGGGGCAGCTGCCCCTACCACCCCCTCATTCATTACTTCTGCTGGCTGAGGCTGGGCTCCATTATGGCCAGCCCCTCCAGCTAGAGCTGAAGTTCCAAGCAGGGTGAGGCCTTGGGGAATGGTGGGGAGTCCTGCACTCCTGACACTCATCTGGAGATGGGATGGGAAGGGCTATCTCAGTGTGTCAGGTGAGGAATGAAATAGATGAATCTTGGATTGTGTGGGCCCCTGTAGCATTGACCTGTCCTTCCTGGAGGTGCTTGGAGACCTTACCCAGCAACCCTGAACCCTACTGTGTGTGCATAGCCAGGGCCCTTGTAGAGTAGGAAGCCATACCAAGGTGGTCTCTCTTTCTTAGAGGGAGGAGTAATCCCTTCAAGTTAAGGTCTCTGAAGAGATAAGCCAAAGTCAGCTGCCCATCCCTACTCCTGGGAGCTGCTAGAGATGGTTTGGGTGGCAATGGGTACTGAAGGTCCCACCCTGCTTGGCTGTTTTCCAGTTCCCCTGTCCATCACTGCTGCTCAGGACCATAGGGGGGGTGGGGGCATGCTCTCCTGTCTTAGAGGTTAAGACCTGAAGGCTCAAAGGGGTGGGGTATGGATCTGAAGGGCAGTATCCACAGACAGAGGGGACACTGGCTGGCTTGGCCTATTTTTAGAAGGAGCCATGTGGGTTAGCCCCAAGACAATAAAGAATGTGTCCCCACAATGGACCATTGTTCCCACAGTAGCTTTGGGGCCAGCAGATGACCTGCACCCCATGGGGCTGGGCTGTTGCTCCTGCTCCGTGGATTTTTCCAGTGCTTGCTTTGGGCAGGAAGAAGTGCTGGGCCTGTGGGAAGTGGGGAAAGGAGGCAGAATTGGCTTGTATGTTCCAGGGGTTTCTTTTGAGGGCAACAAAGAAGAGGGCTCGGGAGACCCCTGTGCTGGGGGTAGGCCTGGGGAGTTCCAGCTGGGTGTCTCCATTTTTTGTCTGCCAGTGTCACCTCTTAACCAGGTTCATGTTCTCATTCTACAAGATGGGAAGGGAGATCATTCCACATAGATGGGAAGGGAGAGCTCTAGGTCTGCTTTCTCCAGGGTCTTCTGAGTGGGGGCTGGGAACTCCCTGCATCTCTGTCTTGGGACAGGGCCAGCTCTTGTTTGCATGTATGTGCTCATGTGTGTGTTTGAGACAGGGTCTCATGTAGCAAGACCGGACTCAAACTCTCCATCCTCCTGCCTCAGCCTCCTCAGGGCTGAGATTATAGATGTGCACAACCACAGTCAGCTAGGGTCAGGTCTTATGGAAACAACACCGAGGGCTGGGATGTAGCTCAGTGCTTGCCCAGCGTGTGTGAGGTGCTGGGTTCCATGCCCAGTATGGGCAAAAGTAAGAAAGAAAACACAGTACTCAGTCTTCATACCCCAGAGGTAGGCCCAGGCTGAGGCTTGTTTCTTCCCTTTTGAATCAGTGTTGACCCTATGGCCTTTATAGCCTTGTCCTGGTCACCCCAAGTCTTGTTGGTTGAGGCTTGTTTCTTCCCTTTTGAATCAGTGTCCCAGTTGGAGAGTTGACCCTATGGCCTTTATAGCCTTGTCCTGGTCACCCCAAGTCTTGTTGGGTTAAATGCTCTTCACTGTTGCTTCCCTGAACTTCTAGGCCCTCTCACCACCCTACTATCTTATGAGTTCATAGCCACGTTGTTCTGGGAACTAAAGAGGTTTGGCAAACAATAGGTGCCTAATGTTTGTGGGAATGAAATGGAACCAGTACAGATCTCGTAGGTAAGAAGCTAGGGCTGCTGGGATCTGTTCCTAGCCCATTTAGATGTGGTGGGTGTGGCCAGCTGAGTGTGACAGTCCCACATGATGCTACCTGCTATGTCCTGTGGATTTCTAATGTTCCTCAGAGTTCAGCAGGTGACAGGTGAAGGTGATTTGCTGGAGCCACAGCCCTCCCCAGCCCTTCTCTCATATGAGGCCATCCATGGGTGCTACTCTTCTCTACTGTGATTTGTATGGGTCATGTCTCTACTGAGTTCTGGGAGTAGATTGTGGCACCTGGAATTTTCTGTGTCCTACTTCAGTTCCACATGGATTGTTGCAAGCTGACCTGTGGTGGTCTTCTTAGGCAAGAGTAGGCTCTGACATTTACAGCCTCAGTGTGTGAGGTGAGAGGTTTGGGGACACGTGGCTGGCTGGGGGACCTGCTTAACTCTTGACCACTGACTGTAGCCAGAGATGTCACAAACCCCTGCAGGGCTCTTGCCAGGGATGGAGGACTTGGAGAGAAATGGCTCAGATACCAGGAAGGCCTCAGTGTCCCCGGCCAACCTAGGGAGGGCAGCCAGGAGTTGGCCGCTTGAGAAGAGGAAGCTGTTCTCAGATGAGGAAATAGCTCCTGGGAGATGTGTGTCCTGGGTCCTCAGAAGCCTCAGGTGACCGTGAGTAGGATGGGAACTTGAGGCAGCATGGGGCAAAGACAGGGTCACAGGCTTACACTTACCTTCTTGAGGAGTTCAGATAGCAAAGTCAGGGCGAATCAGCCCAGGAGCTTAGGGGCTTGGAACTAAGGTGGGGCTTGTACTGTTCTAGGGTAGAAGAAAGATAGACACATGTCCAGCTCTTAAGGAGGAGTGATGAGGGTGCATGGGGAGGACTGGACTAGGGATAACATGATGGCTGCTAGGTCAGCTTTGCTAGTTCAAGTCCAGTCCACATCCCCAGTGGCTGCAAGTGAGGTTGGCTTGGATTAGTATCACCCAACATTACCTGGCAGTTGAGAGGCAGAATGTGAGATGGGAGAGGTGAATGTCAGTAGGCATATGGAACTGAGGGAGTTGGTGTGTGTATGTGTGTGTGTGTGTGTGTGTGTGTGTGTGTGTGTGTGTGTTCACACAGATAACGGGTGTGTTCTTGGAAATGGGTAGTGGCTTCTAGGAAGCATCAAATAAACCAATATTTATTACCTGTGGGACAGAGGAAGCATGGGAGCAGGAAATCAAAGGAAATTGAAGCCAGATGGAGAAAGCAAAGCCATTTGCAGGGAATTTGCCCAGGGCTGTCCTGCCCTGCAGTTCTGTACAATGGGCACGGTCTGCCAGGGCCCTGTCCTCTGCCCCCCCTCACAGCTCTGTTCCCCCTTCCCTCTCTCTCTTTCCTTCTGAGGTGACTGACTGCAGACACCTGAGATCTGCTGTGAGCCCTACATGAGTGGCCTCTGTCTGTGGTTTCTCCATAGGAGCAAGACATTGAGACCCTACATGGTTCCCTGCATGTCACACTGTGTGGGACCCCCAAGGGCAACCGTCCAGTCATCCTTACCTATCATGACATCGGCATGAACCGTGAGTTATGGAGAGACCCTGGTTTCCTGGGGAGGGAAATGGCAGCTAGAGAGGGTTGGTGGCAGCCGGCAGCTCTTTCTGCTTTGGGGATTTCTTGGCTCTCTTCTGGAAGGAACTCCTCCCTCAGCCTGGAAAAACCTGAAGCACAGTGTGTGACCCAGTGCTGCTGGCACCAGATGCCCTGGGAGTACAAGCACCTCTGCTGTCTACCAGCCTGTGACTGTGACTTAAACATTAAGTATCGTCACAGAGATATCCAGGCCAAGCAACTTTAGTCTCTCTGAAAAGAAACCTTGTCCTTCTAAGACCCTGATCTTCTATGCTCCCCGACCCCACTGAGGAAACCCCTCTCCTTCTGCCTCAAGAAATTATGTGCTCCTCCAGTGCGGTCTTTTGCGACTCGCTTCTTCTGTAGTGCTTTTTATCTGCATTGCAGTACTTCAGTACTTCAAGGCGTCTTTGTCGGTGAATAGTATTCCACTGACTGGATGTACCATGCTTGATTTGTCTGTTTTCCAGGTGATGGACGTTTGAGCTCTTTGCATTTTCTGTTATGTATAGTGTTAAGGTGAATGTTCACATACTAGATTTTTAAGATGACAGAAGTGAACCAGGCATGGTAGCTCATGCCTCTAATCCCAGCACTTGGGAGGTAGAAGCAGAAAGATCAGGAGTTCAGGGACAACCTCAACTACATAGTGAGTCTGAGACTAGCCTAGGCTACATGAAACCTGGTGTCAACAAACAAACAAACAACTAGAAGCACGTCATACATTTTTCTAGAAGGGAATGGGATAGGATCCACCTACTGTTAGCATCACAGGTTGGAGCCTCTTGTGAACTAGAACACTACAGGCTGGTAGTGCCTTGATTTGGGGTCAGTGAGCTGTCACTTTAACATTTTTTCCTACCGTTTACTAATCCCTGGAGACTCAGATGATGTCAGTCCCTGGGAACCTGCTTGCCATTCACTCTTACTTGTCTCTACCTCCCACTGTCCCCATCAGCTCCCCAGGGTCCACCTTGGACCAAGCTGCATCTGTGTACTTCACAGACATTGCTTTATGTCAGTGGCTGAAAGGAAGTGGAATTGCATGTGGCCTTAAACCCATATTTCTGAGATCAGTTCTCAGAAAGCCTAGTTGTTATGTTTAGGGCTGTGTCCAAAGACCCCAAGACCTTGCTGGCTTTTACAATAGTTTCTTTTCCTCTCTTGTAACAATTTATTGGATGTTGGGTGCAGCCTATTCTATGCTGTGACCCAGGGACCCAGGCTTCCTCTCAGGCTGTGACATAGATGGACAAGAGACAGACACAGGACTCAGTGTCAGGAGTGAGGAGCAAAATCAACAGCATCACATGTTACTAGCCCGAACTGGTCTGACATATGGCCTCTAGTTGTAAGGGAGTCTGGGAAATGGAGTCCAGCTGTGTGCCCGGGAGGAACCAGCAAGTGTTTTGGAGAGCAGCAATTGGCTGTCTTTCCTCAGTCTCTTAGCAAGTGGGAGACTCATGCAAGGAAAGACAGAGGCTCATTGCTTTATCTTTTGTGCTGCTTGTTTGAAAAGTATGTGTGCCCTGGAAGGTGCCCCAGCTCTGAGAGCCTAGGAAGACCCAGAGAGGCACATAGGTGGAACAGGCTCACCTTGTACCAGCACCATGGTGACCAGGCCAGAGAGGAGACAGAGGCAGATCAGCAGTCCCTTTCAGCACTGGCTGCAAATCGAGGACTAAGGAGTTGAGGGACCAGCTCCACCCTGTACCTGACCTCAGCCCTATCACTTCTTCTTGCCTCTGTCACCAGAGGGCAGGCTGGGGTGAGTGAGGGAGATGGACCTGCATATCTATAATACACACACACACACACACACACACACACACACACAATATTTAGAGACAGGGTCTCACTATGTAGTTCTGGCTGACCCCAAACTCATGAGGTAGACCAGGCTGGCCTGGGACTCACAGAGATCTGCAGTCTTTCTTGTGAGCTCTAAGCAGTAGTGAAGAGAACAATTGGAACACACTATGCCAGCCCCGTTTCCTTGCCTAACTTCTTTCCTTCCTGTCCCCCCCTCCAATACCCCTGGGTCCTGCAGACAAGACCTGCTACAACCCCCTCTTCAACTCTGAGGACATGCAGGAGATCACACAACACTTTGCCGTCTGTCACGTGGATGCCCCTGGCCAGCAGGATGGTGCCCCTTCCTTCCCGGTGGGGTAAGAGCAGGGGCCTTCACCCCATGAGCTGATGGGGTGCAGGTGGTATGGGGAATGTCAAGCTGGCTCAAAGAAAATTAGCCATGGTAAAAATACAAACTTTACTATCTTTTAAGTTGGGCATGGCAGTGCAAACCTAGACTCCCAGCACTTGGGAGGCTGAGGCAGGAGGATCACCAGTTTGACACCAACTTGGGCTCATAGAAAGACAGTCTCCAAAAACCACACCAGAGAAACCAACCACCAAAACCAAGCCAAAATACATTTTTTCAACTCATCATTTTTATGGCTATATATATGTAAAATATAAAATGTACTATTTAACTTATTTTTCTTTTTCCATTTTTATGTATATGTGTACTGTGCATGTATGTGCATGTGCATGTTTACGTGTGTCTAGGTGCACATGCATGTATGTGTACACATGGAGGCCCAAGGCTGATGTCAGGTATCATCCTCAGTCATTCTTCTACCATATTTATTGAGGCAGGGTCTCTCAGTCAAACCCAGAGCTCACCATTATGACTTGCCCCATTAGCCAGCTTTACCATCAGGAGGCTGGAATTATAGGTGGTCTGCTGTGCCCACTTAACATTTACATGTGTTCTGGGAATCTAAACCCTGGTTCTCATGCTTGTGTGGCAAGTGCCTCAACCCTTGAGCCATCTCCCCAGCCCTTGAGTACATTCTAGCATATATGGTGTTTGTAAGCGTCTCTACCATCGGTCTCCAGGACTTCTTCCCATCTCAAGCTGAGACCGTGTCCACTAATCTTGGTTAGGCTGCCTTGAGACAGATGCACCCCACCTGGGCAAGGTAGAGCTTGGAACAGACTTGACAACATGGCTAGCCAGAAGAGAGACCTAGGAAGAGAACAGAAGAAGAGGGAGGGAAGCTTCTGCGGTATTTCTGTGCTCCAGGCCCCAGTGGCAAATGCCATTTTTCACTTAATCCTTACCAGCCCAGTGGTCTATGGCTGGGTTCTTAGCTTTATTCTTGTGAAGAAGCTGAGGTATAGAGGGAACCTCACCAACCCATGCAAGGTCACACAATGGGGATGGGGAGTCAGGCTCTGACCTCAGTCTGCCTATGTGAGGCTCTATGGGACATCCAGTACCTTGACCAGGGTGCTCACCCTGCTTGTGTGTCCCATGTGGCCTTTTCATTTCCACATACAGCTATTGGGGTTGGGCTTGTCAACCCTACCCATACCTGATGCTGGATGGAACATGTAGGACCAGGTTCTTTCCCTGGTTTACAGGCTTCCCAAAGCAGCCCTATTAGTATCATTTACAGACAGAAACCCTTTTTATTTGTGTTCCCAGTTCTTAATAATTAACCTTTATCAGAGAAGACGGGGAGGGACACCTAACCCCTCAGGGCCAGGCCCAGGAATAAAGACCTTATTTGACAATGGGGTGCAGTTAACTGTTAACCAGCTGATAAAACCAGAGCTTAGTCCCCTAAGTCAGCCTGGGCAACTTTCTGAGAGATGCAGGGTCACACAGAAGCCCTTACTCCCCAGAGGAGGTCTCTGATGCTCCCAGGCCTGGGCCCCACCCCAGGGACTTCTGTGAAGTTGATCTGCAGATTCAGATGTAAGGCGTGTGCCCCCAAGTTCACCAGGTGACAGCAGCCTAAGGTAGAACAGTGTTAGAATGGGACATGGCTTCTTCCTGCTGCCTGGACTTAGGGCTGAGTGACATCCCTCACTGTTGGACTACCAAAGCAGGATCTGGGGCCCCAGCTGTCTCCTCCTCTCTCGAGTATGCCTTCTATTTAGGAGTCTGCCACCCTTTTATGGTTCACCCAGCCAGGAAGCTGGCAGGAAACAGAAGCCTTGGCATCAGTGGTTTTGACATTAGTGTATTTGAGAGCCACTGGCTCCAAACTGAGCTATGGCCACTTGCAAAGGAATCCTGTATCTTTGACCCTCCTTTCTCCTAAGGTTCTTTCCAGTTCAGTGGCGTCAAACCATCCAGGCCTCTTCTGGCTCTTTCTATGATTTCTACACATGCTGCCTGCCTAGGATCAGTTTTCTCATCAGGTTCCTATGCTGTCTTAGTGTTACTTCCTCTAGGAAGTCCTCTCTGACCGCTTGAACAGAGCAGGTCTCCCTACTCCCATGTCCCCAGCTCGTTGGTGTCCCTTCACAGCCCATGTCACACATCACACTCTTTCCTGGTCTCCTGCTGGCTTGTGTACTGGGCCATATCTTCTTGGCTCCAGTGGTCTCCTCATCAAGGAGAGCTGTACTCATGTGAGCAACTATAGCTACTGTGAGGGTCAAATCCTTCATGCCTGTTCTGGATTCCTCTCCCTGAGGTCACAGTTTTGAAATGCCATCTGGTCTGTGTTGCCTCTGTTCCTAGTATCTTAGCCCCAAAGCCCAACAGAGGCGGGGCCCTGTTTCTGTCATCTTTTGGGTCTGAGTGGTCAGGTGGCTCCTGGGGAGCTGATAAAGCTCGTATTGGACTTGGATAGGGAAAGTCATAAGTATAGTCACTCTACCCAAGGAAAGAAGGGAGGGGAATTAGTGTAGAATGGCAGATGAAGGGATGGGGGGTATTATGTCTGTTGCTCTGTGGAGGGGCTGACTGGGAAGTCTGGTTCATGGGTTCCAGAACATTCCAGTGTGGGTGACCTCTATTTCTAAGTGTCTGGGCTCAAGAGCTGTCTCTCTGTGTCTCTCTCAGCTACATGTACCCCTCAATGGATCAATTGGCTGAAATGCTTCCTGGAGTCCTTCACCAGTTTGGGTAAGAGTGAGGGCTTTCCTCCAAGGCTGGCATGGAAGGGCAGAGGCTAGCCTGCTTCTCCCTTGACCTTGCATGGCCTGATCACTAAAATGTGGGTTGGAGTTCTCAGATGGATCCAGAAAGGAGCTCACCATGGTTTGTACCCTCAGTTTCACCCCACTCTGCCTCATATGACTGTAGCCTCACTTCTTGAGTTCCCATGGAACCTTCTGGAATAGTGTTAACTGAGAGCATAGCTTCTCTCTCCAGACCCACATTCTGCAGCCTCTCCTTGGGTGATAAACCTCATGGTTCTGGCCAATTGGTTCTCATTCCAAATTTCAGAATCCAGAACAAAGCTTGGGGCATGGGGCAAGGCAGCACCCTAATGGGCCTTCCTGTAAATGTTCGGTGTCTTGGAGCCTTGGCAGGCTACAGCAGGAGGAAGAGAAACAAGAGGGGTGAAGCCGTCAAGGTCATGGCCCTGTGGCTCATAAAGCACAGTTGCATTCTGGGCCTGAAAGCACATCAGGATAGCCTACCTTGCATGGCATAGCCAAGCTTGTCAGCACCCTCTGCCAGGACACCTGGTGGGGATGGAGCTCCTAGGGAGTAGAAGTGGGGAAGGTTTAAGGGGTGGACAGGGCTCCATCATACCTTCCTTTAGTGACCTGGGTGTTCATTTGGTTTCTAGGTTGAAGAGTGTCATTGGCATGGGAACAGGAGCCGGTGCCTATATCCTGACCCGATTCGCTGTGAGTGCCTCGGCATTTCATACAGATTGCATTAAAAAAAAAAACTGTTCAAGGGCAGGGGAGGTGGCTCAGGAGGAAAGAGAGTTGTTCTGTGCTGAGGACTTGAGGATCTGAGTTTGAATCCCAGGCACCCATGTAAAAAGTTGGGCATCATAGGTATAAGTACTTGTAACCTCAGCTTTGAGGGCTGTAGACAGGTGGATCTGGAGAGTTCTATAGCCTGTCAGCGTACCCTAAAAGGCAAACTTGCAGTTCAGTGAGAGACCCTGTTGTAAGGAAATAAGGTGGAAAGCGATAGAAAACATCCATATCTTGCTCTGACCTCTGAATGGATGTGCCCATGTGTGTACACCTACACACTCATGTGCATGCACCCCTCCCTCCATACACATGAAATACATAAATGAATACAACATAAATAGTTAGCATGCACCCCTCCCTCCATACAAATGAAATACATAAATGAATACAACATAAATAGTTAGTTTGAAAAGCAAAACAGGAAAAAGAAATGTGTCATACCCTCATTTCCCAAGGGAGAGACCTAGGGCCACCCATGGCATGTGCCCCATGGGTACCTTGCATGTACCTCACGAACACAGTTTTGCCCTTCCTGGAGTTGAAATGTCACAGTGGACGGGGCTTTTGGCCACTGATCTTGCTCCCTGAGCAGGGAAAGCAGGTAACTTCTCCTGAACACAGATGGTCTTGCCCTTCCTGTAACTGAAATGTCACACAGGGTGGGGATTTTGGTCACTGATCCTGTTCCCTGAGCAGGGGAAGCAGAGAGCTTCTCACTCACAGCATCCTCTGCCCCTGCACTGTCTTACAGTACTCACTCAGGGCTCTGTCACCCACGTCCTCTGGGATCCTGAGTCTAAATCGGAATCAGACACATGCTAACTAATAGATCCCACTGTTAGCACTGTAGAACTTGTCTTAAAGTGACTCATACTCTTCAGTTTAACAAGTATTTGGGGAAACCTGATAAGTGCTACACCACATCAGAACTCAGGGGTGCTGTGAATGAGTTCACCAGCCTGCCCATCGGCTCCGAGTGGGCGCTGGAACGGTCTCAGGGAATCCTTGATGCACAGGTGGTTCCTAGAAATAGCAGAGCCACAGGGCATTTTGGTCCCTTCTTACTCAGTCAGTGGCTGGGATATTGGACCACTGGCAGCTGGGGAAAGTGTGGATGCTTTTTTTTCTGTTTCTGTGGCTTCCTCCTGCCCAAGCTCTCAGAAGACATGATCCACCTTCAACTGAGCTGGAACGTCAGCTCTGCACTGACTGTGCTGGGGGTGGGCATTGATGTATGCTCCATGGTTCCTTGTTGGCCCTGTTTGTGTTGTTGTTTTCTGGTCACTTGACCAAAACTCATCTCCTCTCCGATTGCAGCTCAACAACCCCGAGATGGTGGAGGGCCTGGTGCTCATGAATGTCAACCCCTGTGCAGAAGGCTGGATGGACTGGGCTGCCTCCAAGGTGAGGCTGGGTGAGGCAGACAGGTGGGGACCCAGCCTCTGCCTAGAGGAGCCTGGGAGCCCCAAGTTCCCTCCTGGCCCTGTTTCTGCACTGTCCCCACTTCCTGTCCCCAGCCAAGAGAGCAGCTTTCATCAGCTTTGCTTAGGCTAGCAAATAGAACCACTACCATTTGCCACTCAGGTCAAAGTAGCTCTGGCCTGGTTTGTGTTCGTTCTCATTGATCTTTCAAAATTGATGACTGCTTTTAGTTTTTCTGTAAAGTCCCCAGTTTTTCCAAGGACAGGGAAAAACCATTCCAGCTGAGATAGGACAGAGCCACTTGGGTTGGAGTGATTGGTATCTTATTGGGAAAATGGTTTTGCCAGGGTTGGGTGGATGTTGAGACAGAGGGTGCAGGCTGTGCCCACCCCATTCGTGTTCCTGGAACATCATTAGAGCCTCCAGGAGCCCTGCCTGTAGGACAGTCTTGAGGGGAACCCCTTGTTGGGTTTTATTTTATTTTCCAGTACAGGAAGGGGCATTCCACTCGGCCCAATTGGCTCCTGATGATCTGCTCCGGGCCAAATGAGGAGGGCGCTAGACTCTGGCCGAGATACACTCTGGTCTTAGTGTTTGCCCCGTGTGCTGCCCCCTGGCCTTGGAGAACAGCCTGAGTGTCTGGGGGGCTCTTGGTGCGTCAGGCGTAGGTGTCAGAGCCTGTGATGCTGCCTTGCTTCACTGTGGCCTGACCCCTCCAGTTACAGACAAGAGGCCTGAGGGACAGAGGCTTCAGCAGGCCCACTTCAGATGGCCAGCAAGGCCAGCCTAGGACCCCAGGTCAAGCATGCCTGTCCCCTATCGATCCCTACCCAGGCTGGCTACCTGCCTTATATTTGTAGAGCACTTGGGGTGATACAACATTTATTCAGTTCCTGTTGTATACCTTGACAGTTTGGATTTTGTAGCATACTAGCATGTATACAGCTCCTACTGTATGTATAGTCTTTTGGAGGCAGTGTGGGAAGTTAGTGAATTCAGTGACCTTAAGGAATTCACCAAACGGAAACTAGTTGGAGGAGGGGGAACAGCTAGGGGATTGTGTAGGAGGAGCAGTCAGGCTGAGTGGATCCCAGGCTGCTGATAGGAAGGTTAATGTATGTCAAGGTGTTGGGTGCTCTGTGCTGGAGACTTGGTGAGCCTTCAGTGCAGGGAAAGCTTGGCCTAGCCCAGCCAGGGTTCAGCCCCCATTTGCTGTGCACCTCCTTCATGTGGGAGCTCCAAGAGGGAGGAACTAGATGGGAGACCCAGGCCCAACCTGCCGGACCAGGAGGGGAAAGGGGGCAGGAACCACACGTTTCCAGTAAGGCAGCTCTCTGTCAGCTAACCCTCACAACCAGTGCTTGAGGAAAGGTTTAGTCAGGCTCACGGTTTCAGAGGGTTAAGTCCACGGTCAGCTGGCCTCCTGGTGAGACACATCATGGCAGTAGGCTATGCATGACAGAGCAAAGCCATTCACCTCATGGCTGGGGAACCAAAATAAAGCAGATGTGATCCCTACGACCAGAGCACCCCAGGAGGATTTCCTCTGGAAGCTCCTTCCACTTCTCAGTAGTGCCATGCTGGAGACTGGGGCTTTTCCACACAGGCCTGTGGGGCACATCCCAGATCCACACTGTGGCCAGGCTGTCCTGGAGACCTGAACGAGGCCCATGGAGCCCACAGGTATCACGTTGACCTTGACTCTCTGCTGCTGAGTCCTGACGGCTGATCTGTTTTCACCCTCCACAGATCTCAGGATGGACCCAAGCTCTACCAGACATGGTGGTGTCTCACCTCTTTGGAAAGGTGAGTGGTGTGTTCTGTGTCCTACTGTCCTTGTGAGCTTTTAACCACGTGACACTCAGCACAGGACCATGTGGGCACAAGATACAGTCAAGAGGTTGCTCAGGCTGAGGTCTGTGAACTACTGTGAAGTATTGAATCCATTCAGACTCTATTTTTCTAAAACTTGGTGGTTTTTTTTTTTTTTTTAGTCTCCTTATAAGAGGTTGCTCAGGCTGAGGTCTGTGAACTACTGTGAAGTATTGAATCCATTCAGACTCTATTTTTCTAAAACTTGGTGGTTTTTTTTTTTTTTTAGTCTCCTTATAGCCCCAGCTGGCCTAGAAATCACTATGTAGATGAGGCTGACCTCTATCTCATAGAGATTGGTCTGCATCTCTCTGTCTCCTGAGGGCTGGGATTAAAGACATGCACCAGTACACCTGGTTACCATCATTTTTTTTTTTGAGAATTATGTACATTTATACAGTGTGTTTTGATTGAATGCACCCCCAGCCCCTGCCCCCAACTCCTCCCAAAGCTCCCTCTTACTTCATGTACTTTTTTTTAAACCACTGAGTCCAGTTGTTACAACCAGTATGAACAAGAGTTCAGGGCCTTCCCAGGGAAGACAGACACCTACCCAGGGCAGCATTCCTCTGGGAGGTTGATCCTCCCTCCCCAGCAGCCATCAGCTGCCTGTAGCTCCTCAGTTAGGGGTGGTACTTCGTGAGAAACTGTCTTTGTTGAAGCCCAGTGTGCTACACAGATTGGAACGATCACAGCGACAAAGATAACACAGTCTTCCATCACCCCCACATTTCTTTGCAGTCTTGGCTGTCTTCTTCTCACTCTTCCCAGTAACCTGTGGTCTGCTTTCTGTCACTGGAGATTTGTCTGTGAGTCCTGCACATCCTCAGCAGCCGGCAGGCAGCACACACGCCCCTGACATGCTGCGGCTCCTCTCCCTTGGTGTGGTTATGTTAGAATTCCTGTTTTTGGGCACCATCATCCATCCTATCTCAGGGCTGTGTAGTATTCCACTGGACGCACCACAGCTTTTCTGTTCACCTGTTTTGAGCCTTTATTTGTAGCAGTTTAGAGTTGTTATGAATGAAATATGCAAGGCATATGTTGGGAGGGGTCAACTGTGTTCAGGTCGACTTGTCAGGATTGGCTCATGAAGTCTGCCGAGGAACTCTATGACTCTAAAGTCATGTAGTGAACATGACTTTTTCCTTTATCTTTTTTTTTCCCATTTTTATTGTTTGAGAATTTTATACATGCACGTGATGTGTTTCAATCAGATCCATCCCCTTCAATTCCTCCTCATCCCCCAGCCACTCTTCCTTCCCACTTCATATTCTCTTTTTTAATTTTCAAAATATTTTATTTATTATTTTTATGTGTATGACTATTGTCCGCATGTATGTAAGCACACCCATGTTATGCAATGCCGACAGAGGTCAGAAAAAAGCATCGAATTCCACTGGAACTGGAGTTATAGATGGTTGGTAGCTGCAATATGGGTGCTGGGAATCGAACCCAGGTCCTCTGCAAGAGCAGTCGGTGCTCTTAACTGCTGAGCCGTCTCTCCAGTCCCCATATATTCTTTTTCAAACCCACTTATTCCACTTAGTGCAGCCAGCATGTACCTGTGTGTGGGGCCATGCACTGGAACATGGGTAGCCTCTCAGGGGCAGAATCCCTGAAGAAAACTGGCTCTCCCTTCCTCTGCAGCCCTCAGTTGCCAACAGCTCCTTAGCCAGGGGTGGGGCGTCATGAGTCCCTCCCATCCATTCTGGATTTTTGCCTGACTTGGTTTTTTTTTTATTGAGCTTTAAAATTTTCATACATTTCCCACTCAAATCCAGACCCCATCCCCCATCCACACCTCCCCCTATCCCCCCACTGAATCTTATGCACTCTGCCATACATGCTGAGTCCTATTCATTCAGGTGTTTATACCCAAGTGTCCTTCAGTGTAAATGCGTCCACTGGAGTCTAGTCAGCCCACCCAGTGGTCGTATGTAAGTCATACTCCTTTCTGACTTGGTTTTGGTAAACACAACTTTCATTCTCAGTTTGTGGGTGAGGAAATTCAGACAACAGAGGCTCAGTAATTTGTGTAAGATCTGCCAGACAGGGAGAAGCATGGTGGGGATTTGAACCTGTGAGCCTGGCTTCAGAGTCCACTCTGCTAAGCTTCTGCCCTTGCCTGGCCCTTATATGAGCTGAAGGCAGAGGACTCTTGCAGTGTGCTGGTGGCCAGCCTGGCCTCTGCTGGCCTGGCCTCTGTCTCTGTCTGGTGTCATATCTGTAGCCTCAGCCAAGACCCACAGCCGTGAGGGGGGATGTACTCGTCTCTCATCAAGTCCAAGGTCTGGAAAACCCCTTTGGGTGCCCAGACTCTGGTGATGTGAGGTTTACTGGGTGCAGCTTGTACCATTCTCCACTGCTGAGCTAGGGAATGTGACCCTTTGCCACCCTCCTGAGTCCCAGGGCAACACAAGATGCCCTCTGTCAATGTCACCCCTGGACTTGTAGCTAAAGCCAGGTGTCTTAAAGCAACTGAACATATCGTCTTAACAGGTCAGCGCACTTCCGCAGGGGGTCTGTCACTGCTTAGTCTCCTTTCTGCCCAAGTTCAGTGGCCCTTCTGAACACACCCTCCCCCCGCCCCCGTGACAGGAACAGGTGTACGTGAATTGTCCCTAGAAGCAGAGGTGCTGACTTTAGCTGAGGCAAGCTGGGCCTCCCACAGACATTCAGATTATCCCTGGCTCACTGCTGCCTCTGCCTCAGCTGCATGGGGTTGGAGAGTGGTGACAAGCCTCATCCTGTCCCGTCTGTCACCACAGGAGGAGATGCACAACAACGTGGAGGTGGTGCACACTTACCGCCAGCACATCCTTAACGACATGAACCCCAGCAACCTGCACCTGTTCATCAGTGCCTACAACAGGTATGTGCCCTATGCAGGGTAAGCTCTGCCAGGCCTGGCTGAGTTTGACTCCCTTGGAAGGCTGGGAGTGGGCGTGAGGGGCAAGGACTGTGAATCCCCAGGTTCGTAGTACAGGGCTTGGGGAGGACATGGCCATGCATATAAGGTGCTCTGTGCGGATCTGTGCTTCTACCCATACTACAGGGCCGGATGAGTGGGACACAGCTGTGTAGTCGGAGCAGAAGGCTGAAGCATGTACCCGAGGCTGAAAAGCTGCCATGGGTAGGGCTAGGCTACAGAACAGAGCACTGTGGGAGTGTGGAACCCCAGGTGCTCCTAGGAGGTAGATTTGTCTCTCCAAGGATAGAAGCTGGGTGCTGCTCAGGAGTTCTTCTGGGGAGGCAGCTGCACAGGACCAATAGCATCAGCCAAAGGCTCTGGAACCCTCTTGGTACACTTGCTCAGCCTGCCATGGCATCTCTGTCACCAAGAAAGGGACCAGGAATGAGCCCCACAAACTTGTGACCTAGGATAGAGGCCTGGTACTTAACCTTTAGAAGGGACTTCCTGAAGTACATTTGCATTTGTAACAAACTTAGCATCCGTAATGGACTCTTGGTATCCTCTTCCCACAGTCCTGCCAGTGACCTAGTATAGGGATCTGTGACAGTCCTGCTGCTGTCTGGGGAAGCAGTTCAGGAGGTCATTGAGTTAGCAAATCCACACCAAGAAGAGGGAGGTGTGCTCCTGGCTAGACAGTGGGGATCACAGGAGTGAACTGGTTCTTCCCCAGCAGCCTGTGAAGAGGGGCTGTTATCAAGGCAAAGCACGGAGAAGTTTAGTCTTCTAAGCTAGGAATGGTACAGTGTGGTCTAAATCCTGCACGGCTAACTTCAGACCCTGAGCTTCAGAAGACGTCCTCTGTAAGGGGGCAGGGAGGCAGGAGCTCATGTGCCAGGACAGCGTCCACATTGGGCCTCTGCTAGCAGGGTGGGGCACCACTGGTGGCTTTGTGTAGAAGAGCAGGTTCAAGTTGTAAAGAGATGCCTCACCTTGGTGAGGCTTCAGTTGCTAAGAGCAGGCCTCAGTTAAGAGTAGAGGCCTGGAGGCTGTTTGGGGGCTCCTGGGTGGAGGCTCTGGCCAGGGGCACAGGTAGGCAGAGACCTCTACTGAGGACCTTTATTCTCCTATAAAAATACCATTAACTTAGCCAGGCGTGGTGGCACATGCCTGTAGTCCCAGCACTTGGGAGGCAGAGGCAGGCGGATCTCTGTGAGTTCAAGGCCAGCCTTGAACCACATAGTGAGTTCAGGACAGCTGGGGCTACAGGGAGACCCTACCTCAAAAAGACAAAAAAAAATACTATTAATAATTATAGCATGTTTGGGGCAAAATGAGGAGGGCTTTGCTGGAAATGCATGACTCCTGGTGACCCTTAACTGCTTCTGAGGATACCAAGCAGCTATGGGGGCTTGAGAACCACATGACCTCATGAGGATGGAAGGTGGGTGGTCTTCTAGAGTGGTCCATGATAAGACCTCCTGGGGTGGTGCGATGAGAGCAGGCATCTCAGGGTGAGTCTGCCAGTACTAACCATGTGTGTGTTGCCTGCAGCCGGAGGGACCTGGAGATTGAGCGGCCAATGCCTGGAACCCACACAGTCACCCTGCAGTGAGTGTCTTCCTTTCACCATGCTATTGGAGCTGCTGTGTCTCATTCGTGGCTGGGGGCAGGGCCTACTTCTGGCTATGAGCAATCCCACACCTGGGTGGGACCCACAACAGAGAGAGCTATCTATGTCTTGCTCAGGGATTCAAGTGGGCCCCGCTGACCCCAATTTTTCCCCATGTAGCGGTATTAGCTCAGGGTGTGCCACTGACCATGGCTGGAGCCCTCCAACTCAGAAGGCTAACTAACTATCCTTGGTAAGCCTGTACAATGGCAAAGGCCATGCTAGAGTTCTGCTTTCCAAAGCCTAGGGGTGAAAGACATGGTACCCACCACAAGAGAGTCCTGTATACCTGGTAAAGACTCACAGCTAACAGAGTACACTGTGATGGTGTCTGTACGTAGTCCCAGAATGCATCATGCTGTCTGACACTTGTGAACTTGGCCATGTCATTTTCTTTGTCATTCATGCCATTCTTTATCTGTCTCGATTACTAGAAAATTCCTGTTCCTTCTTCCCCAAGGAGAGAGTGCTTTAGAATAAGAACATTAGCATGCAGAAATCATTGGGCTGGAATTACACTAAGGTATAAGTGACTGATAGTCCATTTTATCCAAAGGTCAGAGGATACTGGGAAAGTGGTATAGGGAAGCAAAGGGTACCTAAATACCATTTTAGAATCCTGCTGCAGCCCAGTGGGTCTGGAGTGTGAGAAGCTGGAGATGGATGCTGGGCTGACCCTCCTCTCTCCCCCCGTCCAGGTGCCCTGCTCTGCTGGTGGTTGGTGATAATTCTCCTGCTGTGGATGCTGTGGTACGTGTCAGGTCATCAGGCTGCATCTGCTTGCCTGTGTGAAGTCCCCCTGACCTCCCTTCCTGGTGGCCCCATCAAAGCAGGGAACATTGTTTAAATGCAGTGTCAGTCTTGGGGTAGAGCTCAGTCCAGCTCTCTCTCCCTGTGGCCACCAGTCCTGGCTGCCTGACCATCTGTGTCCCCCACCCTCCCACTTTCCATGAGCACTTCAAACCTCACTGCATGATGGGTTCCTGGCCAGGGATTCTCAAGTCTCCTGGTGGTAGATGGACCTTTCCAACTGATAGATAAGCAGGACTGCTAGGCAGCAGGGCTCAGGAGGAGCTTTATACCTCACTTCACCCCTAATTCTCACTGGTGATGCTGAGGAGGTGCAGAGATGACACCTCCTTTCTGACATCCTCACCCCTGGGTGGGGGTGCATGACATAGAGACTGTCCGTCAGAGTCCTAGCCCGGTGACCAGCCTGTGCAGTGCAACTCAGGCAAATAGGGATATGGCCCATGAGGTAAAAACTTGTGTGAGAAAATCTAGAACACATCAGTAGAGATAGATCTTGCACCAAAGGAGGGACAGTTCTATTTCATGCATTGTGAACATTAAGCTTAATCCCAGATGCAGCCTGTAGCCAGCTTTGTGGATGTGACTTCCTAAGAAGAGAGATTGCTAAAAGTGGGGCTACTGAAAGTGTGGTGTCTGTGCAGCAGCTGGCTAAACAGGGCTTTTCCTGCGGCTCAGCTTCTGTATTCCTGCTGGTCTGCATAAAACCCTTCACAGAAGCACATTCTCCTCATTTTATTTATGGGAAAACTGAGCCTTAAAGAAATGAACTGACCTGTCTCAGAGTCACAGAGCTAGTAGTGGCCAAGCCGGGCAGCCCAACGCCACGTGTGTTTAACCCCAAAGCCCACTTTCTCCATGCCCAGAGGAACACTGGCTTTTCAGATGGAGGGGTGAGGACATGGGAGGGCAGAGGGGGAAGGCTCTCTGAACTTTGACTGCAGGTCAAGCACTTACTCAGTTCTTCCCCTCGCTCAGGTGGAATGTAACTCCAAGTTGGACCCCACGAAGACCACTCTGCTCAAGGTACAAGGCAATAGTGGAGATGCTGGCATGGCTGAGACCACCGCCCCCAAGTGTTCTGCAGAATTGTGCTGTGTAGAACTGTTGTTAGAGCCAGAGAAATAAGGATTTAGAACTGGGTGTGCTATGCACCCCTATAATCTCAGCATTAAGAAAGCACAGGCAGGTGTGTGAATTTTAGACCATCCTAGGCTATATAGCAAGTTCTAAGCTAGCCCAGACCATGCAGGGAGACCTTGTTTCTTAAAGCAAGGAAGGAGATAGGAAGAAAGGGAGGGAAGGGAAGAAGGAAGTTTGTGGGCAACCTGAGGCTACAAAGGTAAGTGGTCCATCCCTGGGACTGGACTTCAGGGGTCTACATACTTTTGGCCATGGAGCTGGGGAGGATGGACTGGGAGCCCTGGGCAGGGGTCTCCTCTCACAGTGAGGTGAAGACACACGTACACTAACTCTGCCTGTGTAGTGAGAGGCTATGGGGCTGGGAAGGCCTCCTCCAGCAAGGCCTCTTGGGTGCCGTGCACTCACTGACTTGTGCTGGGATGGAGGTGTTCAGCAATGCCACACATGTGATCAGGTCCCTTTTGACACCCAACACTGTGTGTGGTAGCTGTGTCTGGATGCCCCCTGGGCCCAGGGTCCTTTCCCAGAGTCTCCTGCTGGGAGTACTGTGGGGGCTGGACTCCAATCGTTCACAAGGCTTCTGTGACCGCCAAAGTGGCACAGTGGAGTCCTGTATGCTCTTGGGGATGGAGTGGAGTGGTTTGTGGGGTCTGTGACTGCATGTAAGTTTCAAGGATTGGTTGCCAAAGAGACAGTCTGATGAAGGATACAGCCAACAGCTGCCTTGCCAGGTGGGGTGGTATGCACATACCCATAATCCACCCACCCAGAGCAGTGTCGGGTAGGTGCCCCTGGGACCAGTCTCCTAGAGTAGATTGCACAGCCATGGCCTTGGCTGTGATCTGGGTGTTGGATGCTAACCAGCCTCCCTCCCTCCTAGATGGCAGACTGTGGTGGCCTCCCGCAGATCTCTCAGGTGAGTGAGGCACACATCCTCTGTGGCCCATGAGCCCCTTTTCCTCATCATTTCTGTTAGTACTGGATGGTGGCGCATGCACGTATTCTTCATGAACATTGAGGACCCAATAAGAAGCAGCTTTGGGGGATCAGGTGACTCTGGGATTGAAAGGCTTAAGAGGTTTGCCAGGTGGACCTGACTTGGCCACAGAATTAGAATCTTGGTGTCCCTTCCCTAACCAGGGGCCCCTGGGGGGCTCAAGACCAGGACAGAGGGACAGAGTGGATATGACACTAAATTGTATATATACACGTGTGTGCTTGAGTATATGTATATGCTGATGTACATGCATATTCATGTGTATATATGTATTACATGCATGTATTCATATGTCTGTGTGCATACATGTGTACATGCAGGTTGTGCATATCTGTATGCCTGTGTGCATGCACGTGTATGTGGATCCATTTGCCTAGATGTACATGTGTCCCATAACTCTGTATCTGTATAGTTTGCTTGCTCTTCTTCCTCCAGCTCCTGGCCTGCCCCTTGCTCTCCTTTTCTGCTTTCAACCAGAACTGACCTTGCTGGGGCCAGGATGTAAACACTGGTGGGAGCTAAGCTGTATCTGTTTCCCCGAAGCCAGCCATAAAGGCCCGATTCCCATGTGACTGCCCTCTCTCCCCTCCAAGGATAAATGTGTTTGTAAAAAGTGAAACTGCACCCTTTCTGTAGTGCTCAAAAGTAGGAGGAATGGGCATTTCAGCTCAATGGCACAAATGGAAACTGAGGCTGGAGAGGAACAGACACTGCCTGTGGTCACCCAGTGGCACCCAGCTAGTCCACTGTTCTCATACAGAGTGGGTCCATCCCGAACAAAGACATCTTTTCTCTCTGCAGCCCAGCCGCACCCCACTTGTTCCTTGTTTCTAGGGTCACACAAATCCCAGGGAGCAATTTTTTGCATAGCCAAAGGTCACTCAGCTCTTTGCAGTTGATTGACAGGAGTTGGTACACATGTGGGGTGGGGATCACAAGACCTCTGCCTATGGGTGAGCCTATGCAGTGATGGCTTCATGAGCTGGGATCAAGGGAAGGCACTGATGTACTCTTGGTGGCACTGCCTCAACTTGGATTTAATGAGTCAGCCAGTGGAAATGGTGGCACTGAGGTGAGCTTGGTACTGCCTGCTCACTTCCCTGAAGGTCACCTAGTTAACCCATCTAATGGTAACTGCCATCTGCTCATGTGACCACCCCTCCCTCCCTCCCTTCTCCCATCCATCTTGCTTGTCCATCAATCCTATTTTTATTCTTCTGCTGATACATAATCTGCCCTTGTCTTTCCCCTTCCATCCTTGTGTTCTCCTTTCAAGCCTTCAGTTCTTTGCAGGTTGTTCCTTGCTTTTCCCATTCTGTTCATCCCCCTCCCCCTCCCT